TCCCACGTTTGGAGCGATTATAAACTGGGACAGAACAGGACTGAGGGAGATGAAACTAGATTGGTAATTACCAAACTACCCTTGTCAAGATAAAAACCTAAAACCTTCCACAACTCTTTTACCTGCTAGTCTAGTTCCTGTCTGCATATTAAACGCTCACTTCAGTTGTTGGAGTGAATGCCATTTACCTTTTTGTCATCATACTGACCTCGAATGATGTCATCTATTTCGTTTTATTTTGTAGTTCAACAACATGGTGAACGTTCCTTTCTCATCGGAAGCTTTTGTAGCTGCGTTGTTGGCGTATTTTCTGGATAACACGCTTCACTACAAAGACAGTTCCGTTAGGAAAGACAGGGGCAAATATTGGTGGGATAAGTTCCATTCCTTCAAGACCGACACCAGAAGCGAAGAGTTCTACTCATTACCCTTCAATCTCAACAGATACTTCCCACCCGTGTGATTTCCTTAGAAAAAAAGGTGCGGTCGAAAGGTTTGCTCTCTAACAACTCTGTTGTTTTTGTCACATATCTATCTAACTGTAATCGTGTCGTAAAGGTTCAATCCAGTCTTGTCCGAATGATCTGTTAGGACATTTGTTAATTCATTTGGTTTTTTTGCTGTAAAGTTTGTGGTCATTTTGTTGCTATCGTCTTCCAACCTTTGCAATAAAGTTGAAGGACTAAGGTTTAGAACGTAACTGTATAGTAGTTATAACCATTAATAGATAGGATTTGGAAGCAGTTATATCAGAATCAGAGATAACATCCAGAGCTTTGTTCCATGTACCGAACTGTGGTTGCACTACATAAGACTTGGTCAGATTTCTTCGGATCAAAGCTCTTATTCTATGACCAGATCTCTAGTTCCATTGTCCAGAGCTCTGATTGCTCTAACTCGAATTTGAACTAAGGCCTTGTTTGTTTTAAAAAAAGCACTTATTAGTCTCTTATGTTTGATTTATTAAGAGGTAGAGTCATTCAGGCTGTTTGTTTTTTTCCAATCTTTTAGAGGCACTTATGTCTTCTTATATTCTTATCTGGTAAGAGACAAACCAATCTATTATTTGTTTCTTATTGTTCTCCAAATCTTCAGCAACGGCGTTTCTCAATCGATCAACCTTGATCGATCATTTCTCAATCGATTCTTACCAAATCGATCCTCACCTCTCTCAATTGATGCGTTTTAATAGGATTTAAATATGTAAAATACCGTTAATGACATATTTTCTTTTAACTGAATACTAATTATACAATTTAGAAGTAAATTTTGTAACGAGGATGAATAAATATGTGAAATTGTGTAAATTTATTTATAAATTCAACATATAATTTTCTAATAAGTAAAATAGACAATCTAAACAAATTCAGACATTTATCAATTTGCAAAAATAAAAAGTTTTCAACACAATCTTTTATCGATTAGAAGTGAAATAAGAAGACTTGAACATATCTTAAAAAACAAATGTCACCTAAGAATTTTCAACGATAACTCAGAATTCTGATCAAGAGGACCAGAATTTTGATCACACCACCTCATATCTATACTTAGTGAAATTCCACTAAGCTCGAGAGCAATTTCAAGGAGGTTTCCAACCTCCTAAARTTAGTCTAGATCTTCTCGAAACTTAAAAATCACTAAATACAACTCCACATTTTTTTTTCATAAACCTCGGGGTGTCGCCCCTATGACCCCACGATGGGGGGCAACTCCCTTCACTCCCGTCCTTCAACGATCTAAGGTGATAGGGCCAATCATTTGTGAGTGTGCACTATACACCTCCTAACTCACTTTCTTTTCATTATCACTTTAAACCGATCTCAAGTAAACAATAATCACACTAAAAGGTTGATGACGTTAAAACCAAAAACACGAGCATTACAGGCTATAACCTTCTTAGAGGTCGATCAGGAGTTCAAACCTGACCGAAAATGAAAGTCACGACTCTGACGAGTAGATGTGAGTGTTGGTGATGAGAGGGGCAAGCTGGAGTACCCTTTGTCTCCACAATTGTAAAACAACAAAAACATGAGTCATGAGTGAATGAGTGTAGCCAGCATTAGCTCTTAATTAAACCCATTATTACCAAAAAGATAAAGGTACAAGTGGAAATTGAGCTGGGGTTAAGTTTTATATCTTTAATCACAATTATTAATTATTAATCAACTTACGCGTGTCATTAAAATAAAATAAATTTAATAATTATATCCTCAACCGACTTTATCCAATAACCTTTATTCACGATAATATAAACCCCGTCTCTTTCAATCTAATATCGATCGACTTATTACATAAATCAATAATTAGGAATGTATCGACTCAAATTCAACATCAATATTTTATTAAATTATTCATCATCGATACATACATACACACATACATACATATATGTATATAAAGAGAGAGATATTCAAACGAGAACAATGGTCAAATAAAATAACAGTCGAATCAAGTGTAGAATCATATGTGATTTTTACATTAACGGTCCATGCAAGGTAATGTGACACACGACCTCAGGTTGCAATCAAAGTCGCGTGAATCAGATGTGATTTTACACTAAATTCACATGTGATTCGACCGATTTTTATTTATCGTATGAATCTGAATATATATATATACTAGTTGTGTACCCACGCAATGCGGCGGGAGCCGTGAATTTTAATGATTTTGAAGTTTCACTGGTTTTATTAGAGAAAATTTAACAATAATATAAGTTACACTTGATCTTTACATATTAATACAATTTGAATAAATAAGAGTTATGGTTCTAATTACAATCTATCGATGAAAATAATGTATAACARTTTAAAATCCAATATATTTAAAATCCAACATATTTAAATGACTCCACAAATGTGTTCAATTTACAACAAGAGCAAACAATCAATAGATCGAGACCGAGACCGAGAGTTCTACARCAATTGAACGGGAGATGAATGAGAGAACTTTTAATAACTCATGGTGAATATTAGTTTGAATCTCACCTTGGGGGATGGGAAGAAGACATAGATGTATGAGAGGATGAATGCATGAGTGAAAGGTGTCAAAAATATTTAGGAACATGAAAAGAAAATGTAATAATGTGCATAAAGTAGTAGTAATTAATACATTATGAGTTGTTTTTAAGACTTTTAAAACTTTGTGCATAAATGTGTAGTATTTTGTGCCTTAAAACTTGTTTTTAAGACTTTTGATAAATTTACTTTATAATGTAGTATATATATATATATATATATGTATTGTATTATACAAAGAGAGCCCCACTTGAAGAAATTATTAAAAGAGACAAACCTTAAAAAGATAGTTATTTGCTATTGACATTGAAGCTAGAAATGAAGTCAACATGTGGTCAAGGCATCACTTTGTATGTATAGGTGTACAAGCTTGACTCAATGATCACTTATGCTTTATAGTATTCGTAGGCCATGACTATTACATTTTTTTCGATTAAAAAGGAATCTTTCTTTTTGTTTTAAAGTTATATTATCTCGTACACAATTGGGTTATCATCACTTTTGCCTCTCATGGCATGCTTAAACTTTTTGGTCTTTGTTATCTTTGTATCTATATTTGTATCTAACGATTAACGTATAAGTTTTCTGACAATTACGACTTACAAACAACTAGTGTCTGTTCTGATGCCTAAGGTCAGGAGGATGAAGAATTGTAGGAGAAGATGAGAAATGTAAGAAGGGATTTAGACCATTGATTACTTTTAATCTCAAACCAACACATGAATTGTACTTTAGAAGAGAATTGATCTGGTGTTTTTCCGATTAGGATTGATCCAAAGATGAAGATCTTTTCTTACTATTTTCATAATAAATCATGGAAACCCAACCCGCATTGGGAGTTTGGACCATTATGGACTACAATAACTTTACAATAGTTTTCTGACTTTGATGTCGAAGAATTATGCCAACACAAATGGACAATATAATATAATATCACGTGTTCAAAGAATACTGCAATTATGACCAACGTTCTAATCATAAGTATTCCTTCTTTCACCACATTCCTCCCCTAGATTTTGGGGTATATATATACTAGTTGTGTATTCGTGCAATGCGACGAGAGTCGTGAATTTTAACGATTTTGAAGTTTCATTGGTTTTATTAGAGAAGATTTATCGATAATATAAGTTACATTTTGTCTTTACATATTAATATAATTTGAATAAATAAGAGTTATGGTTCTAATTACATTCTATCGATGAAAAAAATTGTATGACAGTTTAAAATCCAATATATTTAAAATTCAACATATTTAAACGACTTCACATATGTGTTCGATTTACAACAAAAGCAAAAAATGAAGAGATCGAGAGAGAGAGACCGAGAGTACTAGAGTAATTGAATGAGAGAATTTTTAATAACTCATGGTGAATATCAATTTGAATATCACCTTGGGGAATGGGAAGAAGACATAGAGGTATGAGAAGGTGAAGGCATAATGAAAGGTGTTAAAAGTATCTTGGAAACATGAAAAGAAAAAGTAATAATGTACAATTGGTAATTTGTACTATATGCTACTTTAATTATAGATTAAAAGATTTTAAGACTGAATGCATAAAATAGTAGTACTTAATACATTATGAGTTGGTACTAATATTAATATATTTTTTTTCAATTTTTATGATATCTTCATATTTATATTTTATTTAAAAATAAAAACATTATCATTTTATCAAAACCACATAAAACCGTATTATAACATCGACTGACATAAAGAAATAAATAAAACAAAACATTAAAATTGAGATGTATCTTGCTGCATTGTACGAATACCCTTATAATATATAATAATATGTTTAATGATATTTATTCATGATTTTTTTCATAAAGAAAATATTGGTAGGCAAAAAAAGCCAAATATACTATGTTTCTATTTTTAATAAAAATAAAATTTCGTTTATTATACTAAAAAGATCATACGATAATCTTGAAAAAGAAAATGCGATAAAAATGCAAAAGCAAGAGAGGAGCTTTTGGGGAAGAAACTAATCGAGTGGTGTTTTCTTCACCTTTACACCATGCTTCCAAGCATGAGAATCTTATGCACCCTTTTTATAAAGCTCGTAAAGGGTACTTTTGTAATTTTACTTCAAAATCACAATTCTCGCTACTCTTTTAAGTCAAAACTTTTGTGCAAAGGTTCGTAACCGGCAACCTTTGAGTACCCTGTTTCAATAAGAGTATCATGTGAGAGATAAATCAGATATACAACGGTCTTATTAGGTGGCTAGCGGCTGGCTTCATAACCTAGTGCCCGTAAGAAGCCCAATCCCCAAAGGTATTGTTTGTAACTCTCACATTGCGGCTGCCAGACTCGGAATTCTCACTTGTTTGTGCAAGTTTAAACGTACATGCCTAACCACATGCTTTTTATGATGTCCATCAAACCGAACCCATATCTTCCGGAACTAAAAACGTATTCCCCTCCAGGACTAGCATATTCAATACCTTGTGTAGCTTATCTCGAACCATCACGATTTGTGGGTGCAATTGATCATCCACACGGAAATCGTGAACGACACCATTCACCTCAATCCAACTGCATCCGAAGTTTGATTTTGATTCAGATTCAGATTCAGATTCATTCTTTCTCTGGCTCATTAGTTTTCGTACTTCGCCAACTCTTTCCCATGTGTTTAGAGAAGCATACAAGTTCGAGAGAAGCACTTCACTTCCATCGAATTGACTAAAATACCCTTGCCTGACGTATGCAATTATCTTGTCTGCAAGACTCACATCCTTGTAAATCCTGCAAGCGCTCAGCAACGCCCTCCATATAACTATATCGGCATCCAAAGGCATCTTTATTGCAATCAGTAAGGCCGTCTTCAAGTAGCCAGCACGACCAAGTAAATCGACATAGCAGCCGTAGTGTTCAACTTTCGCTGCAATATTCCACATGCTCGCCATTTTGTGGAATATCGAAGAACCCTCTTCGACTAGACCAGAATGGCTACATCCTGTTAAGACACCCAAAAGCGTTACCTCATTGGGTGCAATGTTTTCAGCTAACATTTGATGGAAAACCTGAAGGGCGTTGCCACCCAGTCCATGGGATGAGAACCCTGAGATCATGCTCGTGTAGTTGCAAACATCTGGTTGAGAAATCTTGTGAAAAACTTGGTACGCACTGTTGATCGTCCCACATTTTGCATACATATCGATAAGAGCAGTTGAGATGTTAGATCTTTTGGTGAAACCGCTCTTGTTTATGTATGCATGAATCGAGTTTCCTTGATCTAAAGCCCCGAGAGGAGAACAAGCGGATAGAGCGCAAACAAGAACAGCCTCATTTGGCTTCAAAGAATCATGTGATTCCATTAGCATGTCATAGAAACATACGAGAGCCTTGATATACTTGCCACAATCAAGAAATCCCGAGATTATAACAGTCCAAGATATCATGTTACGTAGCGGCATCATAGCAAAGATTTCAGAGGCTTTGTCCATTTCCCCTTGCTTGGCATGCCCACCTAGCAGACTAGTCCATGAAAAGACGTCTCTTTCGGACATTTCATCGAACACCTTGCAAGCATCATCAAGTCTAGCAAACACACCATACAAATTTATCAGTGAATTACCCACATATAGATTACTCAGATACCCATTTTTTGTCACTATCCCATGCACAATCAACCCATGTAATTCTGAGGTTTGGTGCGTGCACGACGTGATCAAGAAAGTGAAGGTGAACTTGTCCGCGATAACTGGAGGATCATCTTCTAATGCATTCAATCGGCAAAAAAGACTGATGGGTTCCAGAGAATTCGGGAGTTTGGAATAAGATCTGATCACTAGATTCCATAGCAAAATCGGTGGAGGATAATTAGGATATTGATCGAATAGCGTTCTTGCAATGGTGAGGCTATTAGTTGATAGGTAGCAATGGATCAAAGAGTCAATCAGAATAGAATATGATGAGAGTGATTTGGTGATGACTTGAGCGTGTACTTGCTCGAGTTGCAACAATGGTGGTCGCTGATTTAGCAGCAGATCGAGTGTTTTTGGAGTTGGGTTGGTGGGAAAATTGACTCTCGAGGAGCAAAAGGTATGAGAAGCTGTAAACCTGGAAAATTGCTTAAAGATTTCAATTTTGATCCTCAAAGTTCCATGCATTTTACGGCAAATAAAGATCTTTATGGATCTGCAAGCTTCTACTCCTATCTGTAAAGAGTTGGTCAAAGTAGCAATTTATTGTAGGAGCTACCGTACAATTAACCAAATGAGTCCAGCTCATAGTATTTCACTTGAGCCATTTCATCAAACACCCTCAGAGCACAAGCTATTTCTTCAATACAATGC